CCCAGCTTTTAGCGTAGACTTCATCTAAACGTTGTGTATTTATCACTGTCAAATTTATCCTAAACTCAATTACCAGATCACGTATTAGAGCTATAAATTCATATAGTTCAAGGTGACTATGAGACTTTGACTTTGGAACAGGGTATATGTAGAACTGTAGAGGAAAAATTTCTCCATTATCTGATGTATATATATCTATATTATCAACCTCAATTGCGTTATGTTCATATGCCAGTTGGCAGCACTACACTCCCTATGTCTATAAAAGGATGTATTGAAGTTGGTACTCTCTACTCAAATATTAACAGTCTGCAATAGTTTTACTATACACGCATCACTTGATGGAGGAAGTCTTCTTCTGCAAATGTACATGTATCCCACTGTGTAGTTAATGACTACTATGAACAGTGCATCAACCCTATCAAGACAGCAATTGCTTTCCTTACAGAAATTTCCCCGGAAGTGATAAACATTCATTGCTTCTTCAAATTGGTCATACTTTCTTTCGTACACTGTTGTAAAACTTCTCAATTCAACAAATATATTTAGTGTGACTACGTACTGGTTATATGACGATTGATCCAGTCTCATGTATGTTTGTTTTTAATCTTGATAAATACGTTCTCTGTTATTCATGTTCGACATGAGATCATATAAATAATAAAAAAAAAACATTAATGTTATTTCAAATTGACTTTCTTTTTTCTAAAAGTTCCCTCTAACACTGGAATAATATTCATCCATTCTCACTAAAAGAATTAAAGTCAGTTCATAGACAGCGCACAAATATTACAATGAATAGACATTGGTCTCTCCAAAAACATTCAGAGGAGAGAGAAATAAAAACTTATTTCTTCCAAAAATTTCCAAGCGACCAAGTTTTACTAGAGTACGACTAATTGATCCAGCATATACATATCCAGGACGACTCTGTACTTAGTGTATAAAAATTCATCCATCGTATCATGATTTGGTTAATTTTTATCCTGTTGATTGTATTTCCTATTATAAATATCAGTGATATGATCGATCCGGTTTAAAAATTTTTCGGTTCGGTTCCAAATATTCGGAACGAATTTCTATCCAAATATTTATTTAAATACATTTAACTTTATTCGAGTGCTCTTACATCTTTTTTTCTTATTCTTTTCTTTTCTTCTCTCTCTCTCTTTTTCTTTCCTCTCCGACCGTAATAATTTCAATGAATTATCACACTTTTCTTCTGTCCTAAATGTTAGGACATTCTAACAAAAGAACACGTTGGACGTTATCTTTATATAACATAGTCTACGCTGGAGTAGATGACAGTTATTTATCTCTCTCCTTGTGTTTCATTTACTCTCTTATGCATGAAAATACATGTATAAGTAATAGAAAAAAAAAGAAAAGATGATAATTCGAATAAAACTGAATTTCGGTTCAAGTGAACCGAAGATTTTACAAACATCAAGTTTCATTACACAGAGAGGGATTTGTAACAAACATATTCAATAAGAGTGAATAAAGAAAGTGTAGCTAATTTCTGATTTTTACTCAACTACTTATTAGTTTCATTCAGTGTACCTTTTTACAGACTGCATTTCAGTATGAAGCACTCATATATGTATATAAGTATCAATTAATTGTCATGTTGTAATAACTTTAAGCGGATAACGAAAACATTATTTTTAACGTTCAGGGAATATATAACAATGAACATTTTAATTAAGAAAATATCACTTAAATGATATTTCGAAATAGATCGATAAGTAAAGCCTAAAAAGTCATTGAAATTGTTCATTTTGCGATGATGGGTAGATTATTTCTCTCAATTTTAGGTTCTCTTTGTTATAGAAGTCTTCTAAGTTGAGAGTAGAACTGGATTTAATAAAGTAGTAAAAAATTATTATAAGATATTACTTAATTTTCTTTTAAAATGAGTGTATTATATAAAATGTAGCCCCTATATGTATATCTGCACTGAACGACGACGACAAAAAAATAACTTGAACGGCTCTTGATTAACAGAAAAAATTGACTAACCACTGAAAATAAACTAGATTTCTATCATTCAAAATTTCTTTTACCCTGAGAACGAAAATGCTCGTGTCCTTAAGATCATTTCTACTACAATTTTCTAGTTTGTTTATAGAACTATCAATGACATTATAAGCATCTCTTCAATAAAGAATTTTAGGAGAATATTCTTAGAAAAAAATAATAGTTTTGAAACTTTTTTTCTCCTTGATTTTTAATCGGTTCAGCTCTGTTTAAAACTTTTTCGGTTCGATTCTTAAAAAAAGAAGAACCGGTCCCACCACTGATACATATCTGATATATTATTATTTAGATAGCTTGTAACTAGCATTTCGATTGTTTTGCATTCTTTTCTTTTATAATCAACAATGTCAAAAGTTTTTTCCTGGATCAGGATCAATAGTGTAATTGTAAATGGTTTTCCAACTGTCTAAGGCTGACTAAATAATACTTAATTAACTAGCACTGAATGGGTGAAACATAATGTCTGATCTTTGGTATTTTTTGTTAATAAGAATATGCAAAACATTTGACATTCCTTCTATGTTTTTCGTTTACTTTTAAGAAAATTTACAATTTAGATTGTTTAGCTTTCCAATGAAAATTTACGGAAGAGACACCTGTTATTTATCAATCAAAAACATCGATTAGCTACTTATGTTAATCCGTTAAACAATTTGAAGAACAGCATATTCATCTTTCTAACTCATGGTTATGCACATGATTTTTAAGCAAAAAGACTAATCGTTTGAATCTGAGGTACCCTTTACATGAGTACCAAGGCTAGAACGCAATATTCAGTGAATGGAGATAAATTTAATAAGGAGTTGAGTTTTCACTGAGTGCTTTTGAGCAATTTTTTTTTCAATGAAATGTTTTAGACTTGTTGAAATGTAGTAATACATTGTCAATTAATATAATGTTCAAGCTTCTGCATATCATACCTTGAAGAAATATTAATTTCAGATAACAAAAGTTTTTCTGCAGTTCTGTTGATTTTTTAGAGGAAATGTGAAGATAAAATAGATTTGTTTAAAATTTTATTGGCTTCTCTAGCATATTGAGCTTGTTCCGTCCTTGAATTGATTGCATATTCATGTGAAAAAAGTTGCTCAGAAAAAATATTGATAAGAAAAATTGTGTCTCATGTTTGCACCCAAAATTTTGAATTTTTCAGGTATATTGGGCGTTTTTTGTTAGAAATGACGTTTTAACGACTTTTATGCATTAATTTAACGGAATTGAGCAGAAAAACGCATAAAAAAAGTGGAAAAAAATGAAAATGTTGAAAAATTCGACGAAAACACGAGTTTTTGTGCGTTTTTTGAAACAAACGAAAAACACGCACAAATTTCGACTAGAAGTCGACATTTTAGTTCAAAAAACGTGAAAAATCCACATGTCTGTCTGCTTGGGATATGACTATTATCATATGTAACACTTTGATGTCTAGTTTTAATCAATGCAAAAAAATATGATACTGACTTATCACTTAATTTAGTATTTTTGTTTAAAATTTTCAAAATAATCATCTAATAACAACACTTTTTTTCTTCTTCATGAAACTAAGAAGAATGGTGTTCAGAATATATCAATTGAAGGTTAACATTAAAAACTGCTCAATATCTTTGTGCCATTTGATATCATTAATAATACATACGTATAAAAAAACAACGTACTACGTCATCACATGTTGTCTTACTCATTTCTTATCTGACAATCTATGACCCCCTATGCTTTTGATTAATACAATGTGCAAGCTTACTTGACAGTTAAAATCATCAGTTATCTTATTATTTAATCAGTTTAAATTGTAATTAACAAGAATAAAAATAATCTACGTCACATGAATCAACGATCTATCGATAAAAACAAGACGCTTATTTTTTCATCAAAGATTGTAATACAAAAGCCTATCGAATTTTTTTTCATATTATATACTCGGAAAGCATTATGATTTTGATCATATCAATTGAAACAATTGATTTTCAGCTGTCATTTGAAAAATGTCTATTCAAAATTGTGCTTGAGCAATGATCTCTTATATGAAAATGTCTGTCACTCTCAGCAATTATTTTCTAAATATAATAATAATGAAACATGCAGAGAGGATATGAGCCATCTATTTAATTTTCATTCATCTCTAAACAATCTTATATTATAGTTGTAGATTTATGTTAAAACAAGAAATTATTTTGTTTTGTTTTTCTTTTTGCTCTACTTTTTATTCGATTTGGTATCATAAGGTTGAAAATTTATTTTCGTGATAAATAACAATAAAAGCTATTTTTATTTCAGGAATGATCTCTTCCGAATCATTCACAATAATCTTATCAAAGTTTCATGTCATTCTATTGCAATATATTTGAGTAGTAGTCATGAAAAAGAAAATGTTGCGATGAAAAATCCTAGATAATTTTAATTCTGCTTTGTTTTCGCTTATATTTTAAAATTCTCGAATGTTTTATATATATATATTGGACTATGCACTGCAAATTTGTTTGTTTGTTTTACATTCATCGATATAAACCCATTAATTGCATAAACCAATCGTAACAGCCAATAATAATGTAGGGTTTTTGTAATACTCATCTCTAAGAATGAAACTTTTATCATCGACATTGATGTTAATCAGGGGCAAATAACGACCAAAATATATTATTATGATAAACATGTGCCAATCAAGCAGAAACAATCGATAAATCCTGAGACTCTTATTTTCGAGTATATAAAGACTAAACAACGACATACAATTAACATTATCATTTCCTTGTTTTTCTTTATTTTATTTTTAGATCTCTGTCTTCAAATTTTACAATAAAGACAAATAAAAATGAAATTATCCTTTTGTCAATGTCGAAGATGGCATAATTTACCACAGAATAAAAACAACATTTATCAACGATTATACGCTGCCACATATCGATCATTATCATCATTATTAGCTCCAATCTGTTCTCAAGTTTTATTCAATGATAATAATATACAATCTAAATATATATCTCCAAAAGGTTTATCTAGTCGTGTTATACCAGCTAGAACATTTCCAAGCACAATTTTAGCTTTTGAGTATTTATACGGAGCTGCTTGTCCAATACGAAACTTACCAACACGAGAAAATACTATTCAATCACCTGGTTTAGTAAGTATTGCTTATGACGAAAAATATTTAATTACAACATGTTGGATTAACACTAGATCCACATACAAATGAAGAACGTCAAGCAAAAATAAATACTATATGTAATGTTACACAAAGATTCTGTACTGAAACATTACAACAATATTCAAGTTTCAATGATTGTTAACAATTTTTAAGAGCATAAATACCTTATGGTTCATAAGATAGAGAAGATCAAGGAAATGTTATTTGCCGTTTTATTCATACATATTTTGTACCTTTATTACCATCTATACATTGTTCACATGTGGGTCCAACTGGAGGAGGAGCATGTACTGATAAAACAATCGACTTTTATTATAATCAAACAAATTTTCTGGCTTGTGCTCATAAACAATAATAATCAAATAAAATCATGTTCTTTTTTTTTCAATTTAAAGTTTAAATAATAAATTGATATCATTCATAAATAATTACGCGAAAACTAAAATGTATGAAGTCATAAGAAGGATGTAAAACTGATTTGGTAATTCCACTTGATAACTGTACTTCTTTATTAACTTAACATAATCTAATTTCAATATATTTATTTATCAGTTGATCAGAATTTTCTACAAAGTATTTGTTGAGAAATAACTATATGAAAAACAAATGTCATAGATTCATAAAAACTGAGAACAAAATTACATTATTCAAATTTCTATACGAGTCATTTTTCATCATTATATAATCATAGAAATCACAATAGTATAAGCAATGGTCATATCATAATACAAAATAATTGAAAGTTTCAATCATCTTTAAGAAAGTACAGTTGACAGTAGTGTCTTATTATTTTGTTTAATTTCTTTTCTTTTTCATTGTTCTGTCATGTTGTATATGTGAATTGAAAAGAAGATTTTTATAAATACTTTGATTTATTTTTGTTTCATTGAACGTTTTATCTTTTTTACTGAAAGTTTAAAAGAATTTGTTGAGGTAAAACTTTCTAAAAATAAAAAAAAATGTGGCTTTTTAATGAAAGTGAAGAAGTTACCATAACTAAGTTCGATCTTGCTTGAAAATCTTATAAGATAGTTTATTTATTTGTAATTCAAAAAAAGAATCTTAACAAGATATATCTTCAATTTTACACAAAGAATTTGTTCTCTGAGAATTTACGAACGAGTTACATTGCATTCTTATTTCAATTCTCACTACATGAAATAGTGAAGTGAATAAAAAATTATATTGTAGTGTGTGTGTTTTACTGTATCTTTTCATCATAAAGACAAATTTTACAAGTATCGAATCAAGTTTTCTGGTTTGTTCTTTATGCAACGAAAAAATAATTTAAGAAATCGTAATCACAAAAAAATGGTTTAATGTGTACATGTTCTTTATTGTGTTTTCTGGATGAACTTGTATTTTTTTGTTCTTTGTTAACAAGTAAATAGCTTCTCGTGAATTTTCAGCTACAATACTGAGTTTTAATGAGTAGTTTCGTCAAGAATAGAAAACAAGTTATAAGCATAGTTTCTTCTTTTCGCATTACAAGAATTCTTGATAGAATAATGTAAACAAATCTTTTTATGAAGTCGTTGCTAGTAGCATATCTAGAAATACGAATGATAACAAGAAAGACAAATACAACGATCAATGACAACAGCAACTATAACATCTTTGTCAGACACCAAGACAAAATATAATTTGTGTGCACGAAACATGGATATACGATATTAATCACATTGAAAAACTATCTCCAATATCCTACGAAAATCTCTGAGCAGAATCTAAGAGATATATAGTTATATTACAATGTGTAATGTAATATATAGAGACAAAACTAGACAAGGGTGTGGGTGGGTGTGGGTGTG